GTAGGTTTTCATGTTGCTCTGGAGGAAATAATTTCCTGTACATTGTCCACCAGTTCTGCACTGACATCACAGGGGGAATCTATGTATCAGATTCCAAGAAAACACATTAAGTATGTAAATGTTAGTTTTGTCACATGGTGCTGACAACCCGATCTCAAGAGAAATAGCTAATTAGTAACCTCTACACAGTGGGAAAACATCAAAGTAATAAAGACTAGTTCTGTAGTTGAGGTAGCAGAAAGCTGTGGTCTCAGAAAGTGGGAAGATCTCTGTCTGCTTTCCCTCAGAAGTGTATGGGTTTAATGTATGGAGCTACAGCAGTCTTGAAAAGGGGCTGGATGGATGGTGATGACCGCACCCAAATCTTGGTGCCAAACCCAAGTTTGATCATCGTTTGCACAACTCAGGGTTTTCTATTTTGGGTCTGAGAGGTCTGTGCTGCTCAAGCATGCCTAGGACTGAGTTGCTCTGTGCTTTGCACCTATCTTAGCACTGCACTCAGAAACTGGGCAGTCTTAGGGCCAAATCCTGCAGAACAGGAGTAGCTGGAGGGCTGCTCTGAGGGCACCTGAAGCAGAGAGCAAGCCTGTCACTGAAGGGGAAGAGGCAATGGCATGGGAAGGGGCTTAGGAGCTGAGTTGAGCTGAAAGGTGAGCTTTGTGACTCAGGAGGGAGGCAAGAGAGTCCACAGGAGAGAGTGGCATTTCAAGCATGTTCCTTCATTTAGGTTTCTCTGTCAGGCATGCTTCAGTCTGAGTATTCTGAAGGGCTTTGACTCACCCTCTGAAGGCCTCTAGTCCTGCCCACACAAAGTGTCAGGAACGTGCCTCATGCTAGATTTTGGGTTCTCTTTTATCAGCATAGGCTTCAGTTTGTGCCACTTCACTACCAAACTTGAGGGGTATCTGACCCACAGTGTTAGGTTAATGATGAACCAAAGCCTAAACTCATTAAGGCATAGTAAATAATGCGTGAGAGTTTTACCAAAATCCATATAGGAAGTGCTTGTGAGACTGCATTTTCATTTCCTCTTTCAGACTGAGTGTTCTCACAGTGAGTAATGTGAAGTTACTGTGCCTGGTCTGCTTTAGAGACTCCCTTAGCAATGCTCTCTGCCATGCTGTGAGGAAGCCTCCCTTTTGCTGAGGTACCTGTTCCTGGGAAGGGAACTTCAGCCTCAGGTTGAAGTGTGTCTGGGGATCCTACCTGATTTCCCCTATACTGCTGAGGAACTCAGGGGAAAGCAAATAGACACATCCCACTTTTCCCAACACACAGCTGACACCTTGACCTGCACATTTTTCCTGCCTCCTTTTGAAAATTATACCAAAAAAGAATTAGGCTCTTTTTTCACAAAATAAGCATATTTCTTCCTGTGTTTTGTTTATATATCTGGTGCACTGGCTAGACATAAGCAACAATTAGCTTTATTTTGTGTAATTTAATGATCATCTAGGACAGGAGAAAGGCTTGTAGGGTTAAATACAGTGGGTATCAAGAGTGTCATGGTTTATTTCCTGAGCATTGCACATACCACACTATCCGAGGCAGACCAAAATCAGAGCTGAGTGAACCTGAGAACAAAAAGGAAATCAGGCAGGAGGGACAGGAACAGCTTCCTTCCTTTATCTCAACCCCCTTCCTAAAACCAGCAGCTTTCTTTTTTCTCTGAGGGACAGAAAGCAGTGGATTAAGAAGGAATGTGACTTTTCATGATAGACTGAGCCATGTTAAGACCCTGGATAATGTCATCTTACATTGTAATGTTCTTTTTGTCATTTTAAATTATTTTATAATTTCTTATAAACCCTTAGTTACCTGTGGTTTAAGACTTTATTTTTTGCTGTCAGCCTACTTCTGAATACAAAAAAGCCTTCGCTCCGCCCCCATAAATATTTTCTGCAACAAGGTGTTTATTTCTGAAAGTCCCAGATAATGACTCATAATGAGTTTTTTAAAAAGGAGAAGCAATGTATTTTTTAATGTATTAACTATTCTCTCACAGCCAGATGTTCCCCTTCATTGCACAGCATGAAGAGGTGAAAAGGAGCAGAAAAACTGCAGCAAGAAAGACAAAAAAACCTCCCAAAAGCCTACTCTACAATCAAGGATCAAGAGAAACAGGTCAGGTGTCAATTTTGCACCTAACTTTGGAATTACCTACATGTGCAGAATGCATGGAGCTGAGGGTCTTTTGTTGGAGTTCCAGGTCTCTTGGAAGTGAAATAATGGATCAAATGTGAGAAGTATGTGTATTACTTAGAAAGGTCTCAAATAAATAATATTCAATTATTTTTGGGAAGTCATTGGGTCAAGATCATTCAGAAAATGTAGTGGAGGGAAATGGGTGGAAATCAAGACATGTTAGAACATGTTTCTTACTCTACAGTTTTGTTTCTTTGCTGAGTTCACTCAGTTCAAAAATTGTTTATGAGGTATTTTACAGATGGATGCACTCTTTCCAAAATGCAAACTACTTAGACAGATGGCTTCACATCTGGATTAATCTTAGCACAAAACAGAGAAGAGTAGTTGCGCTTTTAAGTATCTGCCCTCTGTAGCAGACCTAAAATTGGTGATGATCACCAAAGACATTTATATCAGTATAATTTGCAAATAGTATTTATTTCTCTACTTCTGACAGTTCTGAAGGTTTCTGTTGGAAACATTTCAAAATGTTTGGGTGTCTGATTTGCTTTATCACAATTGCAATGGAAACTTACTGCCTGATTGCTTAGGCTGGTACTGGGAAACTCAAACCTAGTTAAAAACAGATTAATACATGTTTAATGTGAACATGAAGAAACACAAGTTCTCACATAAACTGGTGATGTGCTGAAGCTCCTTATTCAAAATCTTGTCTCAAACTAAAAGGAAAACTGAAGATTTTAAGAAGGTAGGATTCCCCAAATGCCTTCTGTGAGCCTTCCTTACCTTCATCACTGTGATTATCAACTAATTTCATTTTGTAGGAAAAAGGAAAAAATTATTTCCTAGCCTAATTGTGCAGCACTGCTCTGCAAGCTTTGCATCAGCAGGTTTACAGCACGTTTACATAGGCTATATTCTTTTTATATTTTTGGCACAAACTACCTTTCATCTACACATAAATAATCTTTTTGTTTCCTTTTTGCTTTATCTTGTAAATTATTCTGTTGGTTTTTAATCTGTCTTGGAAGTGGTATGACTTCATCTTAGAATACATTGTATTGTCATAATGTTAAAGTGGACCAATTCATTAGCTGTCTTCAGAAAGTTTCCATTCTTCAAGGAACATAAAAAGCATGGCATTAGATCTGGATCGGGCAGTCCACTGTTACTGCTTCATGGCTAGAGATGGCCTGAGATAACTTCACTGGGCCCAAAATACTTGGTGAAAAGGACTTGGTTTCCACTTCTGTGCTTCTGAGTTTCAAGGCTGCTTGGGAAGGCAGTGCTTGTACTTTGCCTGAGGACCAGACATTCCACCACATTGGTCATCCAGGCCCCTCACCTTCAGCTCAGGGGCAGCTCTCCTGCTTGCCATTGCACTTGGGCTGCTTCTGGAGAATGGGACAGGAGTGCTCTCCCTGCAGTCTGATTGCCTGATCATATAAAGTGGGCAACCTCTTATGGTAATGACACCTAAAGTATATACCATAGGCACTTGAAATCCTGAAACTACTGTCACAACTTTGCTTTCAGTGTTGTGGTAGTAGTTGTGGTAGCTGGAAGCGATGCAGATCTGGCCAGCTCAATTTGCCTATGCTGGGAAAGGTGGGAGTCTCAATGTCTGTGTTGCCTCCACCTGCTGAGCCTCCTTTTGCTCATAGAAGAGATTATATATTGGATCTCAGAAATCTGAAGTTTTTGCGCTTTCTGTGCTTCCAGGCACAGACCCCCTGGAAAACACTGCTCTGGACCTGAAACCTTGGAGAAGGCTTGTAAATATGAATAATAAGTCAGAAATCACAAATGTGTGGTGGGCTAGATGTGTGTATTTTCACTGGGTGATGGGTTTTAAATTTGAGGTTTTGTAGTATAGTGGTGGATATGGGACAAGATGGAGAATTTGGAATTTGGAATTTGGAATTTGGGTGGTGTCTTTTTCTTTGTTCATCTTCTTCTTCTGTCTTCTTCACGGAGCTCAGGTAGTAGCCTTTGGTCAGTCAAATGTCACTCTAAGGGTCGTGGGAATCTATTATTGGGTTAAAAGGATAAATAATGTAGGTGTTAAACTTCTATTGTTTTGTTCAGCTTTAAAAGGCCTTGAAGCAGGCTCAGTTATGGCCATTTTTCCTACTTCTAGCAAGGAGCTAGAGGTGCTGTCATACTTTCTGTAGTTTCTGAAAAGATACAGTAAACATCCAAGCCCGAACACGAGAATCGCCTCAATCGTTTTTCTATTAATCCTGGCTCTGAGGGAAAACAGATGAGACTGATGACAAATCACTAGTAAGTGGTGCAAAACCCAGCATACACCCCCACAATTATATGCTGATAAAATGATACTACTAATCAATCCTGACCAGTGCTTCACAGGGATCCTCACTGTATTATAACAAAACCATGTACACCAATGTTGAATCAGCCCAAAGTGCCTGCCTTGGGTTTTTGCACAAAGTCAGTTAAACATGCCTACTTTCCTCTGTAAAGGCAGGGCCATATTCCAGGTTGCAGAAAAATCCCAAACATCATTCTGCTACTGGAGAGTGGATGGCACGTAGCCATGCCAGGCAGTTGTCGATCTGCTCCTTTTCTCCTCGCATGTGCTGAGCTGCTGGGCTGTGCTGTGCCATCAGTCCCTAGGGCAGGGAGGAGGCAGCTGTAGGAGCAGCAGAGTGCAAAGAGAAAGCTTTCAGCAGCCTAGAGGATCTGCCTCCCTCCCCCACTTTCAAGGTTTTTACATTTGCTCCCATAGTCACCAAAGAGAGAAAGATATACCAGCCCACAAGAAACCCACAGAGGCAGAGCTGTGAAGCTCTCACCAGGAAGCTGACTTACGCTAAACCTCTCCACTCTTTCTCGTCACACTGCATCTGGGTCTGCTATGACTGCTGCCTCCAGATGAACTAAACCCAGTTGCCAGGACTACTTTGTCCTGTGTGCACAGGCATCTCTGGTTACCTTTAGAGCTTTTGGATTTTTTGTCTTCTCAATGATATAATTGTTCTAATCTGCTAAAAAAGAAGTCTATCTGAAAAAGCCAGGAGCACAGAACACCACTCTTCTTTTTTTCTTCCCTTGTCTCATCTAGGATAGTTGACTTCCGTAACGTTTATTTTCAACAGCCTCTTTCAGCTTCCTGCCTCTGGTGAGTTCACTGCATTTTCTTTTTTTTTCTAGGAGTCTTAATGTGAATTGATATTCTGAATCAAATTCAATATATTTTGTTTTACTTTTGTAAATTACCTTTATTAATAAGTTTGTGAAATTGGTTCATATAATCAGTTTTAATTTTCTGTTAAATACCATCTGTTAAATGCTTACTGTTGAGATTTACAATTCCACACTGGCCTAGATCTTGCATTTTCTGGATTTTCATTTGTTCCAGAGGGTTTTTTTTTACCTTAGCAGAGAAAGGCCTTACATAAAGTAGAAAAGGGGGTGTGATGGGCTGTACCATGCCAGTTTCTTCCATGTTAACTGATATAAGAAAAAATAAAAAATGGGAGTTCCTCTCAAGATGGTGGATCATCAGATCTAATGCTCTTTTCTGTTGTATGAACAATGAACCCAGGAGTGATAGACATGTATAAATCTGCAACATTTCAAATTATTGTCTTCTTCCTTGTTTGTGAAGTACATCATGCTTATGAGAAAACTGCTCTGCTTCATCTTAAATATTCCCAAACAAATTTAGGTGAAGATTTTATTGTAAGAATTTGATAAACACATTCGTAGTACTGGAACAAGATTCGAGGTATTTTTAATTTGGCAACATATCTGTGGCTGGCTCTGGCTCCAGCAGCTATCTGACCAGGCTGGGTCTAACAAATTCCTGTGCCACTTTCTGAGATGGAAGATTTCCATTTAAATGGCCACATCTGTAATTCTGTGTTCAGGTCACTCCCACAGCTTCTTCTCTGCTTTTTTAGCCAACTGTGGCATGCTTGTGGTGTGGAGCCCCCTTATAGATCAGTATGTGTGTATGTGCATGTGTGCACATCTGTGCACACCCATTTTCAGATTACCCTCACAAAACCTGCATTTTATGATGCTCCAGTGGAGATGGGATGGTCTTGTCACATTGCCAATGAGATGCAGTTAATCTGAAAGGTGAATCAGGACAGAGCACACTGAGGCTGGAACCATCTCTCTGACACAAGTCCCAGCAAAAAATCTGAATGTGGACTTAAGATTTTCTAACTTCTCCTTTCAGCTGTGTTTCCACCTCTGGATGGGGCAGGGGTTGAACTGTGGCATCTGGCAGAGGCCAGGTTTAACGTGGGATTTATCCTGAATAAAATACTTGCAGAAGAAAAAGGTAGAGTAAATGAGATGAGCTAGTTTTTAATAGGCACATCTGTCAGCAAATTTTGGTGCCTGTTGCTGTTGGAATAAGGTGGGATTGTGCTTTATGTTGTGCTGCTTCATATTCCACATTTTCAGCCCCCACCATTTAGATCAGTGTGTAGTGTGTTTGTGGTTTTCCAGTAGGAAGGACCACATGTGTGTACTTGCTTGACTTTAGAATGGGGTTTGGCATAGTTTTTCTAAGACTGGTCTGAAGATCTATCATACAAATGAAGTCAAATCTATCAGAGAACATGGGTACGGACTTCATGTGAATACCATGTTTGAGATTTGGGCAGTAACCACAGGGTCAAAAAGCCACATGTTCACTTGCTTCCTGCTAAGTTTAGACAGTAGGTCTTAGTGAGGCATAATACCAAGTTTTACATTCCCTATATTAGGTACTGCAAACTAGGAAAAGTTGTAGTTTTGTAGTTCCAGAGAATTGGTGTTTTTATAAGTAATCTGTACTTACTAAGTTGCAGAGCGAAGAATCAAATTTAAAAATTGGTTTGATTTTCATGTATAACAAGACACAAATTCATAGGCCATCAGCAGGGCAACATGGCTGTAAATTACTGTCATTTAATCTCATTTTAGGGTAATTTTACTGTGCCAAAGCAGTGTGAAATCATCTCATAGCACAAGAGCATCAGGCCTCAAAATGGAGAGACTGTTGCTAAAGTCACATTGCTGGTAACAACTGCTAGTGCCAGTGATGTTAGGGAAGTAATCTCTTGTACAGTGAGGACCAAGCCATATAAATGGTCAAAGATGTAAGTGGGTGATCTGCAGCATACCCAGAGCACACAGGAAATGAGCAGCCAGTGTGGTGACGGTGTCACAGGCTGTTCCTGTTTCGTAGAGTAGTGGGTCTGTACCTGTGGAAGCTCCCCAGGAGCTTTTCTCAGTGACGCTTTCTGATAACCAGACAGGAGGACACGTAGGCAGGGAGATGAAATTCTGCTGTTTCTCCTCTTACTTTTGCTGTTCTATTTGCTATTTTGCTGTAGTTCTAGATGTACAGCAGCAGGTGGGTTAGGCACTTTAATGTAAAAGATTTTCTGTGAAAATTACCTCTTAACCTCCCCTTTTCTTTGTGAAATTTTGGTCCTGTGATTCTATAGTTTTCCCTAAGAAACAGTAGAATGTTACTGAATGCACCATTCAAGTGATTAATTTGATTGACATGCACCATAAAATGAAAAATTGCAGATTTTTTTATGCTGCTTTTGATTATTGTTTGAAAAGAGAGAAAATAAGTAACTGTAAAACTTGCCTTTTCCAAAGTTTTGGTGTAACATTTCAGACATCAAACCACACATCTTAACATCATTCCCAAATTAGTTCCCATATTTTTGGCTAGTGGTGCATGATTTATTAAATCCACAGTTTTTGAATGTTTCCATGCTATGACACAACTTACAGCTAAAAAATATTTTGAGGTAACTCCAGTATAGCAATTAAGAAAGGAAGTTGGCTGCAGCTGTCTCAAGCTCACTATTAAAGCATTATGGCCTTAAAATACTGGATAGAATCACATAAACACAACAACAAAATCTGTGGGCTGTAGCCTACCATTAGCTCTGCTCCCCAAAACCAAGTGGAGTTTCATATTTGCTTAGCAGGATTTAGTTGTCCTTCAATTTTTATGTCAATGAAGAACTGGAAAACCTTTCCAGTCCACTGGAAGGATCAGTGTACTGTGGAAGGGGAGACTTTTCGAGCCTGCAAAACTTCTGTAATGCAGCACTGAGTGTGGGTACTGGCTACAAACCGTAGTATATCAGGTCTAATATGAGCAGCTGGCAAAGTGGCAGGGAGCAATAGTCCCAGCAGTCACAGTCTGTCACTGCTGACAGGGTGGCTGGAGGATAGGGGGGAACATGGTCTGAGCACTTAGTTCGTGCCTGCATTCCGTGCATGCATTCCTCGAAGAGTAGGCACGGGAGTGGTTGGTGCCTAGCTTTGCTTGTGGCCGTGCCCTGTGTTATCACAGACCCTTTATCTCTCCCTTTTGCATGAGCAATTGCTCTTGGTCTTTGGTTACAGAAGCCAAGGAGAAGTGTAAATTGCTAAGGGAAGAGGATGGGGCTGAACTTGGCATGCTTCTCTTTACCTGACATGGAAACAACACGAGGTTTCTGCTATGGTTTCGGGATTTCTCTACAGGGAGCCTGTCACGTAGGAAATACCCAGCATGTGCTGGAAAAGGAGCAAACACCTCTCTTGGCAGAAGCTGATACAGTGGACTGTGGTTACATACTGTGCATGATGCCGCTTCTCACACACAAGTATGGGTGTGGAGTACCAGTAACTGATGCTTGCCAGCTTGAGGTTGTTGTACCATCTGGTGATACCACTTCTCCTCATGAGTGACAGTATGTTGCTATTGAAGGTTGGGCTGATTTATGTCAAAATATAGATATAAGTAGCTCTCCTAATATAAAAGTGTGAGACCAAGACCCCTGTGTAGCTAGGGGTCTCTTTTGGTTGTTTTCTGTGCCATGGTCATTGAAAGAATATGAAACCTCTCAAACGTTCAAGAAAACTGTTATTCCTTTCATTGATAGGTATGCCAGTGGACACATAGTCTTCAGCTTGCCTCTTTTTTTTTTCCTTCAAATGACTGTGCTTAAAAACTGGTAAAGACTTTGGAGTTTGAAGTTACTGAGCTACTGATATACTCAAATATCTATTAATTAATCTATCTGTTAATTACCTATCTAATTTGTGAGATTTTGCTTTTCTCACTATAAAAATATGAAATAGCTGTCGTAAAAACCCTTCATGTCATTTCTTTAGTTTCCATCAATTTAAGTGCAAGTTTTTAAATTCCCATCTCTTTCAGTGGAGTTTTAATTCTGGATGAAAAGCCATTGGGTAAAGTATCTCTGAGTTTGAATCAAGTCCATCAGGATTCAAAAATAAAGTATGGGAAATGTTCTCATAATGTTCAAACATCTCTCTCCTAAAATATATCTCTTTTCATATGTGTGATCATTTTCATTCAAAATATGTAAAAATCAAGAAAATCAAGGAAAACTTTCTATGCTTCCTACGGAAGAACTGCGCATAAAGATTTACCGTAGCATGGGGATTTGCATGATCTTTAAACTGACTGAAAGCCAAGTAGATGTCAGCTATAAATATATGAAATGGCTTCTCAAAATACTCAGCTGGAGAACAAGTGAGAAGGATTTATGCATTACTTTGGGTTGTAGAGTCTTTTCTCCTCTTAACCTGTTCCATATGACCCGCTGCTGTCTGCAGTATCATATGTTTTATATAAAGGTGGCAAGAGATCAAGGTTGTAATGGAATCAGAGAAAAGTAAAGGAAAACAGGCACTAAAATAAGTATTCTGCTCTGGCATATAGTTGGTGTAAGATATAAATCAATATAAAACCTGAGTTACCAGGTATAACTTGTGCTAATTACTGAAAAAAAATTTTAAAAAGCATGTTCCTTTGAAATTGGACTTTAATCATAACTATGCATGGAACGTAGGCAGTTTGATGAAGGCAACTATGCACGCCTATTTATTTTATCTAATTTTATCTTCTTCAATTAAGGAATTCTAGAGAGGCTGCATGGTAAGAAAACAAATTCTGCTTGTATTGTAGATACATATTATCTCTTATTTTATCTGTGTACTGGATATAGTGCATGAATACTAAGTCATGGCATAGATTGTGGAAGACAACTCCTTTTTTAAAATTTATAAAACAAATCAAAAAGATAAAAGTAATAAATCAGCAAATGCAGGACAAGTAATGATAATCGTATATTTTTATATCACACCTGCTACTTGAAAAGTAAGTGTAATTATTTCTAAGGAAGCTCCTAAATTTTTTAACATTTTTATGTACAAGTGTGCACACAAAATTTAGGAATGATATCAAAGGTGGCAGTTTCCTGCTGTGTGAAATTTAGACTATGATTTTAAACACTCTAATGTATACAGAGACATGAAGGTTTTAGTTGCTGGCAATTCTAAGGGGAAAAAGCTAAAATTGTCAGGGAGTTTCTGTGTTATAAAATAAATACCCAATGAAATTATTGTTGCTTCCTTTGCTAGCTTTGCTCATTAACATCAGAAGTTTAATATTCATCACAGCAAAAGGAATGGTGACATGCAGTAAATATGAGTTCTCCCTAAATTAAAAACAAATCATTATGTTTTAGCAAAAGGTCATTATTGTGAATTATTTGATCAACTGCAATATCATTATTACTACTCAAAACACCTGTACATCTGACACTTTCTTCTTATCACAAAATATACAAAAATAATCTTCCATGGAACACTAGCTAATTCTGTTCTAACTAACATTTTCCTCCTTCACCTTTACCTCCCACTGAAGTCAAACCTGAGCAAATACATAACATAATGAACATGGAGAACATCCTTCTTCTCCTGCTGATATTAGGAGGAGAAGATCTAGACTTGAGAATCTCCTAATTTTGTGCTAGGCATTTTATAAAATCAGAGCAAAGTTAAACCTGAAGAGACTTCTGAAAGTAAAGTTGGAGATCTTGCACGGGATCCGTTGAGGAAAATGGAGAAATGATAGGGCAATTCTTAAAGACCTTTTAACGTTGAGGAGCATGTTATATCACCTGTATCATTCATGTATTAGCTTTTAGCTGTACTGTTACTGTTGATTACTTGGTAGCGTTTAAGGGAGCCAGTCAGGAAGACCAAGTAGCGTGCAAACAGGGGAGAGGAGTGCAGTTCTACCACAGGTTAGAGCCAAAACACACAGAAATCAGCCTTATCCACTGCAGTGGGCTTGGCACAGGCTCTGAAACAGGGGAAGCCCTTTTCCCGGCAAATACAAGTTTGTATACGGAGATACCCGTTTGTTTTAACAGTTTATCATGTTACACATCTGCGACATTTAATATAAATAAATATATGCATCTTCTTAACAACAAGTCATGGTAACATATTGTAAAGATGTGTCTA